GATGACCTACTATGTGGGGAATAAATCTGTGGGTTGCTGCAGACAATCCTAATGGTTATATTGCGACTTTGAAATTTATACAGGAAGAAGTCCAGATATTCATCGCAACAGATTTGGGTATGACGTGGTGATCTGATATCAGTTTGGTTACAGCCTTAGGTCTTTTGTAGTACAATATAAAGGAAATATTTTCACCACATAATCCAATTATGTGCTTTGGCAAACATTACTACTTTAGCAAACATTACTGCCTTGGAAAACATTACTTTTTTATAACTACTAATTATGATGATGCCAGCCCAACAACACTTGGTCATGCTATTTGCAAATATTTTCATGTTCTAGATTGTGAAAACAATCAATTTCTAAACAAATGAGTAGTGATTATTTCAAATTTGAATAGCATGACCAAATTTTGAGGCTGGTTATGACACTAATAACTAAAGTCAATGGTGTAATGATTATCTAAGAATGTATGTAGTAATTGTAGAAATAAAGACATTTTGCTAATCATGATTTGAGTGTTCTTTGTGGGTATCACAGACTTACTTTGGTGCCATACTATCTTTGGAGAGTAAGAAATATTGGAAATTTGTATTGATAACATGTTGCAGCAATAAAAAAGGACCTTTGATAAAGGTATTTGTTTCATGTGAGCACAAAATGTAAATTTTACTCCACTACCTAGTTTATATAAAAATTCAATAAAAATATTTCTATTTATGCTACATGCATGAAACTTCGGGTACTTGTAGATCATAACCGTGTCTTTCAGTCATATTCATAAATTTTTTTGACATATTTGAAATTTGAACCGCTAAATACATTTATGCATAATTGCAACATTTTTTTATATCATAATTTATGCAAATTTATGCGAGTAAATCGTTAACCAAGCTCTGGATGAAATTGAAATTGGTATCGTTGGAAAGCAGAAGTCCTCCTCTTTCCAACGATGCAATTTCTGTTTCCGTGCGATGTATAGTTTGAGAGATATAAGCGTTTGAAACAACACCACTCGAAATTGCTACTTTTCCACCGGATGAGAATGAGTTAATGTCATGATCACAGACACAGGATCTGGGCGAATCTTACTGCATTTATATCAAAACCTGATTAAATTATTATATAAGACGTACTTAGTTATTGTTATTTTGTCTTGAATATTACTGTAAGCCCTTCAACCCAAGCATATGCGTAAGCATCTGATCAAACGCTATATACACTGTCAAAATGTCAATGTAGTAAACAAAGCAGTTAAATGTAGTTCTATAAATAGCACTGCAAAGCTATACATTTCAATCACGCAACACAAATATTTTAGCGATTGTGATTTGTTCTAGAAAACTAAGCACTGTATGTGCTGCCTCTGATGTGCTGCTTTAGCATGAACATATTTGATTTTTAAATTGGGCGATTGATTTTAAATCAAGGAAATTGAAGGCTCATGCATTATATTTTCTAACGATTGATATAGTCATGTTTATTCAATATAGTCTGCATATTATATGCCAAGTCTGCAATTTCAGTAAGCAACTTTATATACATTGTATTCTGCATTTTATACATTTTCTGCAGTCTACACTATAGTTTATACTGACTGTAAAGTCTGTATGCCATTTGTCATTATAAAACTCATTAATAATTCATGAGGAAAATACAAAAGAAACGAATGTTTAATCAATGTTTGTAAATCGCATAAAGATTTGTCCTGATTTACATAAACTTCAGCTTTGATTTTCTTGGCTTAGACAATGCCTGTTTATTTTTAAATTACTTCGCCAATCATAAGATGGGTCGAACTCATAAGATGGGTCGTTTTATAAGTACGATAAAACATTCGCATCTCGCCTTCAGCTCGAGTTTGTATATCAGATAAAAAATCTCTAGTACTTATGTTCCGTTAGTATGTGTGGTAAAATTATATTTCTGGAAATGTAAACAGCATACTAAAGTAATCGATTAAAATTCTGTAGTATATACAGACTATAAAAGTATAATAATACAGACCATGCACGATAAAGGGTGGATGTGGGGCCTATATATGGACCCCTTATAGTGTGCACACCCCTTATAGTGCTTTCTGGTCAGTTGTCATATCAACTTTGCACTATCCTTGGGATCTCTGAGTTATAAAAATATTTCGGCTTTTTGCAGTGAATCCTTGTTGTTTTGATATTTTTTCAACTGTTGACCATTTGTTCAAAGATGTGGAAGCCATACACATTAATTCTCGTCCATGGAGCATGAACGACAACAAACAAGTATTAAAACTTGTGAAATGTGGGCATTTTATTTATATCAGACTGTTCATAAACAGGTATTTATAAATATTTCAAAATTCATATTACTGTTTTAAATATTTAATGAAAAAAGTTAGGAATAAATGGTAGAATAATGTACTCTGTTTTTAGAAAATAAGCCACAAGTATTTATAAAGTGGTTGTAGATGAACCTTTTACTGCAACATTAAATGTAATAATTTCAACCCTCAATCCCAAGGAAATAAAGGTTGTATACATACATGCGTATGAATTTGACATGAAACTATGAGACAGCTAAATCTCCGACCTTTGGCTTGCTCAGTTAGGGTTGACGTCACTTCAATTGTGTTTTAGGAAGTCACTCGTTCAAACTTATTAGGATATTGGACTCTGTTTGCATTTGGGAGTAGACCAAAACGGCATGTGCTAAAACCTGGACTGGACTGGACAATGGACTGGACTAGACGATGGACTGGACGCATTTGTGCTAAAACCTGGACAATGGACGATTTTTATTTAGCTACAGCCGTTTCAACAAATTCAATCTCCAAATTCAGTCTCCGGCTATCACTTTGTCACCATAGACACTATACTATCAATTTGACTCACCTTAATGACCTTACTTACTGAAATTTGATTGACAGTTCATTAAATAGAAATTATACGAATTTACAACATTTTAATCAATGTTACAATTCTCGACATTGCACTTTTATCGCGGCCTGTTGATTATCGTAAATCTATTGTACTATCACGTTCAAATTTACCACGGAATATACCTTCCCGGAAGTTTTACAAGGTAAAGTAACAATAAAATTGAAATGAAAATGTTTTTTTACTGGTAGTATAACACTGAAGCACACATTTTTTAGATATTTTATTAAGCACTTAAATATATATACAGTAATTTAAACACCCCTTGTGTGTTGTTGAAGCACGTGTATTCATCTTTCTTCAGGAAAAAGGATTTCTTCTGCGAATTTACTAGAAGTTTCAGACTCCGAAATCCCCCAAATCACTGGGCAAGTACTGTATAAGTTATAGTTTGTATCAAAACAGTTTTCGTTTTCAATAATTGGCGTGCGTAAATAACCGGACCGACATTTCGTACTTGTAGAGAATGTTCTTCTCAAGCTACAACATCTATAGATAAATCTCTCACAATCCACAAAGCATACCAAGAAGTACTGAAAAAGGTTAGTAAAATCGTTTTCAAACTTGATATTTAAGAGCTCGAAAACTCAAATAATATTTTGCACTTCTAGATTCCCCCTTATTACATTATCGTAGCGCTTTCCATTGTGGTTATAGTGGTATCACTGATAAAGATAGTGGCCTCAAATGAAAATATTGAATGTTTTCACGAATATTTTGCTGTGCCTATCGCGCACCCGACCCTAGCTTTTTTAAAAGTTCTTGCACTGGTCAGGACACCAAAAATAAGCCATTCTTGAATATCAGTGATACCACTATGTCTATAACCACAATGGAAAGCGCTACAAAAACGTAATAAGGGGAATCTAGAATTGCAAAATATTATTTGAGATTTCGAGCTCTTAAATATCAAGTTTGAAAACGATTTTACTAACCTTTTTCAGTACTTCTTGGTCTTGTGAGAGATCTAGATGTCGTAGCTTGAGAAGAACATTCTCTACAAGTACGAAATGTCAATCCGGTTGATATTTACGCACGCCAATTATTGAAAGCGAAAACTGTTTTGCTACAAACTATAACTCTGTGTTTCCAAGTAGTGTCAGATGGTTGAGCTTAAAATAGCGGGTGAAGGTCGAAGGCCAAATACTAGGTGGGTAAATCAAAATTGTACAAGTTCTGAATTCGGATCATTTGGGTCCTTTAGCCATAGGAAATGTAACATCCTTATTCATGTTGTTAATTGCCACCATAAGCAAAAGCTTTCTCTATATCTGCAGTTATGCCAATTCTATGCCATCTAAACTTCACGAGTGTGTCAAACAACTGAGGTATAAAGTTAGGGCCTGTCTCTAGACAATCGTTCAATGAGTACTCGCGGTCTGGTGGCTTATCTGACCCATCATAAATGATTCTAAGCTTTGTCGTTCCGCAATCTCTTCATACCACTCCATGATGAGGCAAATAATGAACAAATTCATTACAAGTGTTTTCAATTTCTTCGTCTGGAACCTTCTCCACAATTCCATCTTGTATCTGCTGTTCTGTAATAACTCTGGTTAATGCAACATCTTGCGATGTAGAGATCTGAGACGTTTTTCACACAGCTGGTAATCACTTGGTATGGAAGGGCAATATTGTTTCCATGGTAATTCAACTTCATATCATGTTCTGTCGAAATGTACACTCTTGTTGAACGACTCAATGAATTCTTTAGGCTCTGGATCACCTTTGATCCCAATCGATTCTTTCTCCCAAAATGTTTTCAACACATCAACTAGTGGATCTTGTGTTGTTTCAGAATGGTTGTCACTACCCAATACTGCCAGATTTGTTGTGCATGTTTCATTGCACAACCCATTGTTGGTTGGTCCAGATATAAGCCAGCCAAACTTGCTATCAATTGCTACATGGCCAAATTCTCCTCGAACTGTATCACCTTCAATAAGGTCCCAATAATGGTCAGTGCCAATAAGGACATCAATAGAATCGTTAGAATCAGAATTGTCCGCTGGTTGTAACCCTTGTAAATGGGGATACTGATCCACTTCGATCTTCATAGATAAAGGAGAGCAAATGAAAGGAGAGCAAATGAATGGAAAGCTTAGGGAAGAAATCATAACATCTTCGTTTTTGTTGCTTCGAAGTGACAATGGCGATACTTCACATTTCTGCTTTCGATAACTTCTTTCACCCAAGGTGTTGAGGTGAAGTGTTTCAGTCTTCTTGGCTTTTATGTTCAGTGTTGATTTCAAACTATCAGTAATATAGGAGAGTTGACTCCCACTGTCAAATATTTTTACTTTAGTCGATTTAGATCTATCTTCATTGGTTGCTATAGCAGGAGCAGTTTGTTACATAACTTGTCCCTTTGCATTGACACTAGTTCTAGTACTCTGTATATGAACTGTGTGGGCATTAGGTTCTGGGGTTTCAGTTCGATTTTGGAATTGTTGAAAGGTTTGGGAACCATGAACACCTTCGTTTTCCTTTGTTGCGGCTGCTGGCTCATGTGCATCAGGTTTCAATGTCAGAATTTGTTGATTGCAGATGGATTGATGTCTATCATTACACAGTCTACAACCCCTTTGACTTGAACACTGATTACTTCGATGTCCCCTTTTGAGGCAAACAAAACACCTTCGATCTCGTTTTAGGATTTCTAGTCAAGCATGCACTTCGCTTGTCTTTGTGCAAGAGGCAGAAAAATGATGGCCAGAACAATACACACATTGAATTTTATTTCCAGAGGGTTGGCCATTAGCCACCAATGCAGCAGCAGAACCATGGGGCTGTGGCTTAGGCTGCGCTGCATTGGGTTTTTCAGGACTCACTTTGATTTCGTCACTTATCTCTTGAGCTTCGTCTTCCTTTCAAATAACACTTAACAGTTCTGACATTTCCCACACATCTTGTGCAGTATTTCTAGCTATCTGAAGTCAGACATCTTGAGGCAATTTTGACATGACAACCGGTATCAGAAGGCTGCCGTATTGGCTTGAGTTGACCCCCAGGGCTTCTAACCCCCGGACATTGATGCTAATTTTATCATAAAAAAATTGTAGTTGTGAGGTCTTGTCCGTGGTACATGCTGGAACTTTAAGGAGTTCATCCATATGCGTAGAAATAATATGCAATCAAAACGTTGATTTAAAATATCGATAGCTGACTGATAGTTCTCTCAGTTAGGGTTAGTCCTTGAATTGCCTGTAAAGCCTGTCCCTCCAATAATGAATTAAAATTATTAAATTTGTCTATCTTCGTTAAATAGCTGTTAGTATGTATGGCACTATTAAAACTATTCCAAAAGGTTCTCCACTGAGTGACATCGCCACGAAATTTCGGTAATACAAGCTTTGGTAATTTTGATCGGTTTTGGGTTAACACAGGCACATTATTCATCAGTTTTGGGTTAACACAGGCACATTATGGTCAAATGATCATAAAATAGATTTTGAAAACAGCAAAATCATCGACAAAGGAAACTACCGCCATAGATCAACCCTCGAAAGTTGGCACACTGCAATTACAACTAATGCTGACAATAACTCGAAACATTTGCCTGAACAATACCGGTTTCTCTTAAAAAGATCTTGAACAGTTAATCTATTTTTCTTGTTAATATAATATCATCATATATCTATAACATAGGCGGAGCGGAACTGTTTAATTGTTTTTGTATGTAATTGTAAACCAATGTTTTTCCATGTAATTCATTATCACTTGCCCGTTGAAGACTGCAGACTGGCAGTCGAAAGCTCGTTTCAATAAATTTTTATAAAACCAGAGAACGTCCAAACTATTAATAGGCACATTATTGTTGTTAATAATAATAGAATTTTGTTCAGTATTCACTGTACCTGCAGATTCAGTTGACTTGGGTTGACTTGGTGACACAGATTGACTATTGCCAGTACTAGCTGAAGTGTCCAGGACAGTTTCGCTTTGTTCTTGTTCCACTGCCGGTTCCTCATTCGTAGTATTTGTAGGCACATTATCAGGGCTCTTGCTTTGTACTTCCTTATAAACTTCTTCGACCTCGTGCATTTTCTCGAATATATGTCGTTGAGTGTCTAAATCTCTTGATACTAAGTCCTCTGCTTCGTTGATTTCACTTGCTATGTCTACAACTTCGCAAATTTCGATTATTTTCTCATCCAATTCCTTTACAAATCTAAACTTTTCCTCGAGTAACCCGTTTATCGTATTTCAATCATCCTCAGAATTCTTTCAAAAGTCCTTCAGCTTCATTGATTAACTAACTTTGTAATAACTCCTCTGTTCCCCCCGCGTACGGCTCATATTCTCATTAATTTCTCCTTGAGTTCGGCCATTTTTTGATGAAATTCTGCCCTAGATTATTCTCAGATATTTTATTTGATGGGCAGGTACACTCGCCAGGGCTTCAACATTAAGGTTGTGGCTATCAATTACTTCTAAAGTGCTGTATTCAAAATGAGTTGACAGACTTTTCCCACATTTTCTCTCTCATAGCTTTGCACTTTTTTGCTTTTTTTCTGTTTTGCTTTTTTTCTGTTTTGCTTTTCTGACCTTTTCTTGTTTTTGCTTAACCTTGATTTCGGTGAGTTTGTCATTAATGTTTCGAACTTTCCCAATGGTTTGTTCATCAAATTCCTTTGCACAATTATGGCTGGACAAAATGTTACCAAAAGCAAATTCTTTCCCGGGGAAACAGGGATATTTAGCTGAAAACAAAGGATTTCTTTGTCTTCTAATTTTCCCTGCATTCTTGATGAGGGATATTTAGAAGACAAAAGCGTACCCCATTACCTCTGATTTGGGAGCTCTACCGCATCAAAAATCATTGGCACAACTATGGACAGTATCTGAAGACACCATCCCGTACACATTAGAACAATCACTTTGAGAGCTTTTATTCCCTAATCTTGAACATTTCAATTGTGGGAGAAAATTCCGTTTATGCGCATGCCTGAAAAGAATGAACACAGAAATGTGTTTCTGTGCGTGCGTATATAAGAAACGTGTTCATACCACAATCATAAGACAATCAAACAGCAGGCAACACCACACCATGCACGATTCCCTTGGCTACTATGTATTTACAAACTAAATGCATGCTTTGAGGGAAATTAGTGATTAAATGACCCTGCAAACCTCGGGAAGTTTAGTAAAAGTCCCTCGAGACTTTTACTCAACCTCCTTCTGTTTGCGGGGACATTTATTTGTTACCTTTTGGCAATATATTATATATTTTTCTTGCCAGTGTGGTTTATTATAATCATTTGGCTTATTTACACTTTTGCCAGTGGGGTCTGTGTTGCCTTTTGGCTAGTCATGTTTATAAAAATTTTCATGCCAGTGTGGGGTTAATCTAACCTTTCAGATCAAATAGCTGCCAAGTTATGTATGTTTCTTTCATATAGTATAAATATGCCTCGGCATGCAACACAATCCACCTTGAATCCGGATCCAAGCGCAGCAGAGGTTGTTTCAACTGTGAACCACCCAGATGTTAAAAAGGTCCAGCCAAAAAGGCAGCTCGACCAGCAAAGAAGTCAAAGTCCGCATCCAGCCAAGTATCTGCACCAGTAGTTGAAGCTGTTGATCCCAGATCTAATTGAGCAGCTGGTGACAAAGGTTGCTGATGTTGTGACACAGAGACTCTCTGGACGTTCCATGGGTACCAATCCAACTGTTTCAGTCAACCTACCAGCCTGATGCCCAGCATTCTGCAGCAGCCAGTGGACCACAACATCTTGCAGGAAGTCTACCCTGCAATAGTTTCTCTGGTCGAAGTAGCTGTGGGGCAGTCCCAAGACGCTATCGCACATATATATTATGGTGATACACCATCTATTCCAAAAACTTTTTTTTATTTAAGCAAATAGATTCTAGAGTGAATGATAAAGTAAAAGCCAAAATTTGGAATAACGAATATGTGGAATTTAGTACCCTTATTTCTAGTCAAGGGAACAATAAGTTCCAGTTGTCTTTTCAAAGTTTAGAGGGTAATAATGGCCCCTCTATTTGTCTCGAGGCAATTAACCGGAGCCAAAAAAGGTTCAATATTAATCAATGGCTCTTTCATATATTTGTAGGAGTCTACACTCGTAGGTTTCCAAGTGAATCCCCGGGGTTGATGAAGTATTATGAAATAATCCCCAAAACTTAGCATCACAGGGTTTCAACTGGAAATTTTATAATGAGAACTTCCGTTTTTTAAGACAAAATCCTGCTTCAGCCTTGCCTTGGGGATGTGTTCACTAGGAGTTATGGTTATGTGCACAACCGTCTTCTATGTTGAGTAAGCGAGACCAGCCATTTACTGGCCCTGCCAAAGGTAGCAATAATCAACATGTACCACATGGTTTTTGTTTCAAGTTCCATTGTGGGTTAGATTGTGCAGGTTGTGCTTTCAAAACACGCATGCTTTCATTGCCAACGCGAGCATCGAGCGAGTCAGTGCAATTTTTTTCATACCCAAGGCAAAGCTTTTGGTGAAAACACACAATTTCACGGACAGGCAGCTCCCCACTCCAGTAAAAGTTGATAGTTTAGTAATTTTTCAGGAAGGATATGATCATTTAACTGAATTTTTGGCACATGGTTTTAGTGAAGGCTTTCCTTTACATTATCAAGGTGTTCATAAATAATTTATTGCAAAAAATTTAGTATCTGCTTTGAGCAATCCACTGCCAGTTGATGCAAAAATTTCAAAGGAATTGTCAACCTGTCATTAGCAGGTTCTTTTGATAAACCACCCTTCCAAGATTTTTGGGTATTTCCTTTAGGCATTGTCCCTAAGAAAGTGCCTGGCAAATTTTGTCTTATTCATCATCTTTCATACCCACATGCAATCTCGTACCCAGAGCAATGCCTGTGCGCGGGCTAGGATGGCATTGGCTCTGGGGAAATGCCATACTAGCCTTCCCCTTCCCCAGAGCCAATGCCATACTAGCCTGTGCACAGGAATTGCTCTGGGTAAGAGATTGACCCACATGGGTCATCTGTAAATAATGGTATAGATCACAAGCATTCAACTGTTTCTTATTCTACAATTGACGATGCTATAAAGCTTATTAAGCAATTAGGACCAAGATGTTTTATAGGAAAAACAGACATTAAAAATGCTTTTTGACTATTACCAATTCAGACAAAAGATTATCGTTTATTATAGGAATAATGTGGAAGGGGTTTTATTATTATGAGTGGGATAGCACAAAACAAATTGAATATCTGTTATATGTTACACTTACTAGATGATTTTTTATTAATGACTGAGAAATTGTGTAAGGACCAGTTAGAATTATTTCCATGTTTATGCAATTATTTGGGCATTCCCATGGCACCTGAAAAAACTTTTGGGGCCTTCAACAAAACTCTGTCCTTCGCCAGAATAAAACTGAACCTGCATATAACTGTTAAATGCAGTATAGAATTTTTTAGTTGAGCTTCAATATCTTCCTCACTTCTTTCAAAGCCCCCTGATCGAGTATTGTGTATTGTATTATCCAGCACCAACGGAATGCCCATTTTCTTGGAACATTCTTCAGCAGCCTCATAAATAGTGTCCTCCGTAATTTCCTTTAACCCAAATCTTGTTCTCGTAACACAGTACTGCACCTCCGTCCAATTGATATCCACAGCTTGTAGCTCTTTATTAAATTGTCTGACTCAGCTAAAAACAATTGCAACGTCACCAAGGCTACAATGAATTTACCACTCATCAATTTGTGATAAAATCCTGTGGCTTCCTCTGCATGCTTAGCTCCATGTACTGCTCCATTGTTGCTTACTTCAGCCAAAGTTTTATACATTCAGGCTTTTCTGCAACAAAATCAACTGCTTCAAATTTGCAAGACCACCTCGAATTGTTGAGTTAAGTATTTATTTTGTGTTTTCAGAAACATTTCTTGGAATATTTTCTGGTATATAGGTCTCACTTTACCAATATTGAGAAAGGAATACAAGCGGGTAATAGTAGCGGCCAGAACGTTGACAGCCAACAGAGAATCTTTTACCAAGTCATTCACAATCAAATTTAACCTGTGTGCGTACAATGAATGTAGAGAATCAACCGAAAATGTTTTGATCTTAAAATCTCACCCACACCAGCATACTCCCCACTCATCACACTTGCTCCATCTGCACCAAGACTAATGACAACAGATCCATCTGAATGCTGTGTAATGAATTCTATTAAGTCTTTAGTATGAGCAGCTATTGTATGTGCATGAAATTCAGTCATGTGCATTAATCTCAATAAATCGCTCTACCACCTTTTCACTATAATAGCGCACAGCAAGTGCGCTCTTCCTTTTTGCCTTTATCCTTACTCTCGTCAATAAGGACCGAATACATTCCACAGTTTGCAATATAATGTAAATATGTATATAATGTAAATACAGTTCGCAATATTTTGTAAATTTCAAAAGCTATCTCAAAAAGAAACTGCAAAAAAACGGCTAAAAGAAGGGAGCCGATGTTAACGAAGGTAAGTTTGTTTTAATTATTGATTTTATAATGGGATTTAAAACCCGATGGCCTTTGCGTATATGGAACAACTATTGAAACAAGACAGCATATAATTTCAGTATATCTTTAATATTGATTCCCTTTGTATGATATTTAATTTTTTAAATAAAAAAGACAGCAAAGTTATTTGCAAGCGGAGATTTGAAATGATTTTATTGCAGTGACTTTAAAACGTTTTGCGAAGCATTTGTGGTTGAATTTTACCTTAAATTGAGGCTTATATTACGTAGAATAACATAACTAACATATTTATGTTGGGAAATTAATAATTGGGTAATTAAAAGTGATATTTTTAGGCGATTTTTCATTTATAAGAATATTCTTAAAAAATGATTGTGTTACCATAACAAATACTTTTGATACTTCATGTTCAGAAAATACAATGGTTCTGTCAGCAAGGCGAGGGTTTCTGCATGCATGTTTTTTCTAGTACTAGGCATCAGTGAGACCATTTTGGCATTACTGAGCCCATTTGCATGCAGAATTGAAAGTTGACAGCTATAAGTTTATCAGGAAGGATAGGAAGAATGGTGTGGGTGGGGTGTTGGCTGTTTTTTTTTGTGCTGATATAGGCTGGCAGAGACGAAAGGATGTAAAAAGTGATAATATCGAAGCAATTTGGCTTGAAATCTTTGTGAAAAAGTCATATTCAATCTTAATTGGCATAATATTTGACCCCCAAATACCTCATCATACCTTAACTCAGGTTTTGAATGTAGTTTGAATGATATGTTGGATACCTGTGTCTCTGAGGGCAAGAAACTATTGTAATTGGGGATGTAAATGTCAATTATAGTAAAAACTCGGACAATTATTAAGCTTACAGGTTAAAACAAGTTATAGAAAAGCCAACAAGAATAACAAAAAAATTCCAGTACTTTAATAGACATATAATTGCAACCACTGAGAAAAATATCTTAAAACACAACCTGTGGCAATTCGGTCAGTGATCATGATCTGGTTGGGGTTATTATGAAAAAGAATAATCTCAAATTCCCACGCTGCACTATACTGAAGAGAACTATGCAAATTATAATAAACAGTGCTTTATTGAAGATTTGCATCATCAATCATGGGATGCAATCGTGTATGAAATCAATTTAAACAAAGCATGGGACTGCTTTAAAAACATTTTAAAATTGGTGAACATGCCCCTGTATTTGAGCAAAAAGTATACTATATATATAGTATAGTGTCTGAAAGACACTTTTATTTAGATATTTGGTATATCTGTAAACCTCCAATTATCTAAGCACTCATGAATAAAACAACTGGTAGTAAATATATTTATATTAATAGGAAAGGTCTTCCCAAGTCTAGTATATATTTGCCATTATATACAGTAGAATACACAATTGAGTCTGTTCACATGCATTCTGTGAGCTAAAATATCTTGTTAGAAGCCAGAAATATTCTATCCAAATCAAAATGTTGGTCAATTTCCACAAATACATAACTAAGATAACTTGAATAAATCTTGACACAAATTTGCTGAATAATTTACGGTATTTAACTTGGTTGTGCTTTCGAAGATTAGCATGACAAGAAGACAAAATTCGGTAAGATATGCATGCACGAGGAGCAATTTAGCCAATAGAATGTGATAGAATTTATAATTTAGTTGTGCTCACCTTTTTTTGAAAAATGTTTAGTCATGACTAGCACGAACTCTAGCTTCGGCACTGGCTGTTGATGTTTTTAAATGTCTGAACGACTTGTTGCCATCGGTGTACAAGGATTATTTTATAAGAGCATTATTGTCACACAAGAAGTACTCAAGGAAACAACAAGACATTAGTTTTACAGAGGGTCCGAAGTGAATCTGGAAGAGAAACATTAGCATTATATAGCAAAAACTTTTTAACAGCCTACCCAACGACATGAAAACCGAGACCTCTATTCTTCATTATAAAACTAAACTCAATTTGATTGCCTTCAGTGTTTATGACTACAAGGCATGATTGTGTGAAATAAAAATTCTAGCAATCTCTTAGGCCACAGATTTTAAAACATTGATACTGTATGTTAATACAGTATTGATTTTATTGTACTAAGTAGTCTAATTAGATTTTTAATTTATATGTATAGTACAGGTCCTTGATTGATAACAGTACCAATTCATATACTGAAACAAGTTAACCTGTTGAAATATGATTAAATTATTATTATTATTATTATTATTATTATTATGGCTATATAGGAGCAGGTTGTGATAATTTGTGTATCAATGTAACCAAGGTATGACAAAGTTTAGCAACATATTACATGAGGACGTATTTGCATACTTACATTTTACACTACTTCTTGTAGTGTTGCATTTTGTGAGATGAATCATTTAAATTTTTTTTAGATATATTAGTTGAAAGCACATAAGATGTAAACAAAACTGAGGTAATATCACTTTATCAACTAGAAGAAATCGAGAATGAGGTGTTGGTTATCCATAGAACTCAAGTGAAGCATGACTTTTCTCACTATTTTACTAATAATATCTTAAACAAATACATAAGTGTACAAATGATCAAAAAAATCAATACAATCAATCCAATCCCAGAGGTAGTATTGTAGAGAAAGGTGAAGGTACCGGGGGTTGTACGAGATGTGATTTCCTTATTTTGGAAAGATAGCTACATGCTTGGTGAAGACAAAAGGGTCCCAATCATTCGTCATGATGTCTCTAAGACAACGTGGCGGGCGCTCTTGCCCAAGTTCTGCTTAAAAGTTATTTTCAAGAATGCTATTTTCCTATTATATCCCCAGTCTTTTCGAGTTGTTGTCTTTTGGGGGAAGAATTTGTCACTGGTGAAATGTGTCTTGATGCTTTTATGAAATATGTCTCCAAAACAGAAGCCATCTTGATAGAGAAAATTCTTCCTCTGTGAGTGTTGTTGTTGTTAGATCTTTTAACAGCTTTTGAATGCAAGAAGACTTGCCAACACAGGCATTAAAATACAGAATTTTTACAAGGACACACTTTGCCTTCACAGGCGTATTTTCGGTATAAATGTACAGACTCATGAGAACAAGTGGGGAAGCCACAAGTTCAGCGTCGAAGACGCGAGCTTTTAAGGGGGTCTCTAAAATGGCATTCCCAGCGTTCTGAGAACAGAATTTTGAAAATATTTGGCCCTTTTGTGCGGATTTACAGAAATTCTTGCACAGATTTTCAAAACAAATCCATTTTGCTCGGATTTCCACAATTGGAAGAATTTTAGCGTGGGAAATTAATCCCCTGCAAAGCTACTATTTTACTGCAGACTGAATGGAACGCAAATTTGAGCACTTTTGTTAACCCTGCTTTTCGCTAGCCATAAATTTAAGCGTAAGCATCACAGATTTGCTGGCACAAGCCTAAATGCAAGCATAAACAGAAGTTTAACAATATTAAAATCTTCCTTTCCCTTATGCATACGCCTTACGCTTATGCTTGTGTTTCAGTGAAAGCCAGGCTTTAAAGTTGTCATAAACAGAACTGCAAACATTTTGGAAAATCTAAATATAACTGAAATACTGTTTTATTCATTGTTTATACTTTCCACAGTCAAATTGTTATAACTCTTAAAACAAATAATGGTAAAATAACTAAAGAAATACGAAAAAATTTTTTCCGTAATCGTGAGCCTTAAAAGTCTTAAAAAGAGCATAGCCATGCAAAGCACAGTCCGACAGTCCCTATTCTTTCTTAATTCTTATGTCCATAGCTAACCAAAAGGTGGTTTCAAGTGATGTCCTCCTTGTCTGCTTTTCTCTGACAACTCTGACATGTCGATTTCATCGTCACCAATGCTGTTTTCAAAAGACACCATTGAACCACTTTTGTGTTTCTTGTACTTAGATGATGCACTTGGTTTTCTCTTCTTATCTGCTAACCAGTGGGTATGGCATGATAACTCGCAAGCGGTTGAAGATTGAATCCAATTAAAATGTAGTAGTGAAGGGTATCCGTGTTTCTCACTGGTGACTTCAAAATATTGTATCTTGATATCAG